AACACCCCTGTAGCCCTGGTGTTGTTGATTGGTTTCCGTTACAACATCGTCCATGTTGACACTCCATGGTGGGTGGGGATCAGAGGTGTTGAATGATATTACTCCACCATGGCTCTCAATACTTCTTCTGGTTCATCTAAGAACAAACGTCGTCATATTGATGGTTCGTCATCTGACGAGGAAATCCCTACAACTGTCTCTGATTCTTGGCCGAGATTTATCGTCATTGCTTCTGAAGATGAAAGACACGTAAAGTTTAATCCATTTGTCATTGCTAAGGGCATCAAAGGTGTCTGCGGTGATGTTAAAAATGTCACAAGTCTCCGAAATGGCTCTATCCTAGTGGAATGTGCGCGGAAGCATCAATCCGTTAACCTACTGTCTTTGAAACATTTTGTTAACACAAATGTTGTTGTCTCGGTGCACAAGACACTGAATTCATGTCGAGGAATCATCAGAGATCGAGCTCGTTGTCTGTCAGATATGAGCGAAGATGACATCACAGCGGAACTAAACTGTCAAGGAGTCACGGCAGTCAAACGTTTTACCCGTAAAGAAAATAATGAAATTGTCAACACAAACACCTACCTCTTAACCTTTAGTCTTGCAGTCCTACCAACCTCTATCAAAGCTGGATATTTCAATATAGGTGTTGCTGTCTATGTTCCAACTCCACTTCGGTGCTTTAAATACCAGAAGTTTGGACATGGCACTAGAACTTGCCGAAATAAAACAGTCTGCTCCCGTTGCAGTGGTGATCATGAAAACACTGAGTGCACAAGTGTCATCAAGTGCGCTAATTGCACTGGAGACCATTTGGCTTCATCGAAAAAATGTCCATGGTTTGAACGCGAATCACAGATTCTTAAAATCAAATATACACAAAATATCTCTTTTTTTGAGGCCGAAAAACTCGTTCCTACTCAATCTGAAACTTCTGCCATAACATTCTCAACTGTGGTTTCTGCACCAACTCCAGTAGCTAAAGTTGCCAAAACCTCCATCATGTGCCAAACATCAATTTCTTGGGTTAGAGATCAACTGATGCTTAACGAAGTTACCCAGATGTCCCAAGAACAGGTGATAACATCTCGTGTCTTCCTCTCTCAGACGGAGGAATTGTCATAATTCAATGTCATCCAATCTGAGCCAGACTTGCCAAAAGATAAGGATGAATCCAAAATTGTAAAACGCTTATCCAACAGCGAAAAGAAGAAAATGAAAAAGACCAGGGTCCTCCAACACGTTGAGGTGCCTTCTTCTCAGTCAGCCCCTGTAAAGGTTCGAAATCAGTTTGAACCTTTGGAGATGGAGGTCTGTCCTCCTCTCCAAAACTACGGGAGTGGATCCCAATCCCAATCTAGAACTCCGATTGAGCCTCCATTAGCTCAAGTACCATACTTCAGTGGAATTGCAGAGGTCTGAAAAATAATTTCAATGAAATATAATTACTAATACAGGATTTTCGACCATCAGCTTTATGTCTTCGGGAGACATACATAAAATCTACTGACACTTTTAATTTACGACTATCAAAGATTATCCTCAAGGAGATAAGCGACTGGAGGTGCTTCTATTTTGGTCCTGCAGGGTATTATCCATAGCACTGTCCCTCTTAATACCAGTATTCAGGCTGTAGCTGTTCGTCTGACCTTACACATTGCATTGACACTGTGCAGTTTGTATATCCCTCCTTCTTCCACTATTCAAGAGTCAGAACTTCAAAACCTGTATGATCAACTTCCGAAGCCATGTCTAATCATGGGCGATCTTAACGGACACAACCCGCTTTGGGGAAGTTCCCATACAAATCATAAAGGTAAAATCCTTGAAGAATTTATTTCAGATAATAACCTATGTATATTTAACGACGATACAAGCACATATTTACATCCAGCTACGGGAACATATTCTTCCCTGGATTTATCACTTGCTGACTCCATCTTGTATACTGAATTTGACTGGATGGTTCATGATGACCTATGCGGGAGTGATCACTTCCCAAACCATTATCAAAACAATGTAACAAAGTAAAACAGGCGACAACAAAAGGTTTGCAAGGAATTGAAGTATTTATTTCAGTCACAGTCCCATCACAGAGTCCACAGGGCTGGTCTGGTCAGCATGGTCCCGGCAGGGTCCAAACAGCTGTAGGTAGAGGCAGGCAGAGAGTCCCTCTCAGCTGGCAGTAGCGTCGTCTGTGAGAGTCCATTCCTTGTACCTTTTGGGGTCTCCATCGAAACTCTGAACTACCGAGGATATTCCTTGTGTCCCTAATTTTGATGATAAACTGGACAACTGTCCTGAAATTTGGTTTGCCAAACCTTGAAGAAACTCGCCTAACTCCTGGCTTGCCATTTTGAATATTGGAGAGTACTAACAACAAAACCCTTGTCTACTCACTCGTTTTCTCGTCGGGCCAGTCTCCACGTAGCTTTTTCCTCCTCGAAAGTACGTTTCCAATGGAGATCCGGGTCACGGCACCAGTTGAAGAACCCTGAGCATCGCCTTTACTTGTAACAAAGTAAAACAGGTGACAACAAAAGATTTGCAAGGAATTGAAGTATTTATTTCAGTCACAGTCCCATCACAGAGTCCACAGGGCTGGTCTGGTCAGCATGGTCCCGGCAGGGTCCAAACAGCTGTAGGTAGAGGCAGGCAGAGAGTCCCTCTCAGCTGGCAGTAGCGTCGTCTGTGAGAGTCAGTTGGGTTCTGTCTTGAGAGTGGGGCTTGGCTGCTTTTTAACCAGCGTACTCCTCTTTAAACGTCATACTGGTCACAAACAATCTGGCAGGTTGATCCAGCTAAGTCCACTAGATTAATCATTCTCATGGCCAATGTCCAGTGTGGCGTTTCGCGTCAGTTTTCTTAACTCGTTGTTTTTAACTTCTAGTGAGATATGGTCTCTTACTTGTCATATCCCGGTCAGTCTGGAGGGACTGTGGGCAGTACACCGGTCACGCTGGATTAGTGTCCGATGCATTTGCTCCTGTTTTCTATCCACCACATGAATCACTTCCCTCATTAATGTCTGGTGTGACATTTTTTAAGCCTTCGAAAGACCCTGTCCTGACTTTTTAGTGAAATATAGTTTCTCAGCCCGACACGCACCAGTCAGCTAGGTGGCAGAGAAATAGTGCGTCTGTCTCACTGGATTAGTGTCATGGGCCAACACAGCGGCATGCTGCTTATTGTGTTACATTCGCCCCTTTTTACTTTGAAATTTTTCGCCGGGACAAAATTTCATTTTTCTTGTACTGTTATATAGTCCTTGCGTTGTGTTTCAGTCGAATATTGTTGCTACAGTCCACCATAGTTCACAAATGGGAAATTATAGTTTCCTTGAAAGGGTTGGTAAATATTTACATGGTTCACTCACATTCCCACAGTTTCAACACACTGGGGAATCTAACAGAACTTGGTCGTTCACGAGTTAGTCCTTGGACATCCCGTCGGGACACACCACAGTCTGGATCATGTTGCCGCCGTCGTTCCTGGGTGGTGATTATCCAGTCACGTCCAGACTTGGGTAGAGTTGTCGCACTACCGTTGTGGTTCCCGTTCCGTCCACCCTTCCAGGCACGAGTGGTGCAGAGGCTATCCGCTTCCTGTCGGTGGTAACCGCACCTTCCGTTTCAACAGGCACCAACTCGAACCCGGAAGCAACATGGGTGTGTTTTCCTCTCCTAATTCTTTTGGCAAGCCAGGGTTTGATAAATTTTGAATAGACAGTAACCAACACTATTATCAATGTAACTGATAATGCCACCATAACAAAGGTCCATAAGTAGTTCCCAGTCTCCATTTCCTCAATCGTACCCATTGACTCTAATTGTTCAATTAAGTGATCCATTGGAATTTTATCGAGATATCTTAGTTTCTTTGGTAATCTAGCCTTTTTGAGATCAAACGTTTTTCTTTGTAAGGGTTCAACCAAGAGCATTTGCGTTACATTCAGCCTATTTATCAGTTTTAGAAATATGTCCTCAAAACTATATCTGCTCTCATTTTGGTAATAGGGCAACAGAGTCAAATAGTCATTCGACGCAGAACATGACTCTTCGAGCCTTATTACACCTAAGGGGGAACGTACTGTTAGGGCGCTAGGTCGTCTGACGTCACTTTCACAAACTATTGTGAAATCTAATCTTTCCCGCGTTGCTATGACCCACTGCCCAGTAGTCAGATATTCAGCCAAAGGTAAAATAGTCTGAGGCATTACTTCTGTTCTACAGAACTTTTTACTTTCTGTTCATTTTTCATAAAGAGAGAGACTATACATAACTGACTGAAATTTATGGGATATGCAGGACTTTGAATTTGACAATAACCGACCAAACTCGCAGTGCACCCATGTTTTTCTGTGTCTTTCAGCAACATGTACTTGGTGCGCTTGGTATTAACTGCTATGAAACTAGCCTCTAACTTGTATTTAGCTATCAAATTATGGAGACTATTGGCAGGGTTGTCAATTTCATTGGCCAGGATAGGAACAGATAGGTTATGTGCTTGATATATCTCAACATGACCATCTAAATCTAAAAGAGGGAGAGAGACAACTACGACTATCTTGTTGTCATAAAGCAATGTGGTACATTTGAGAGTCCTATAGAAATCCCATAACTCGTTTTCAGGGTCACCTGCTAACTTGAACCTAGGGGGTAGATTAATCTTTACTTCCCTTAATATAGTTAGTAACTGCGTGGGAGTTATTGTGCTAGGTGACATATGGCCCAGAGATAGCATATTCAATTGCAAATGAAGGTGTTCGAAATAGTTTGTAAGGGTTTCTATCGTTTGTCTTAGTTCTTCTATTACTAGTTCTATTTGTAAATAAGTCTTTACAGCCCACTCCATGTTATCAATGCGTACTTGGAAATGGTCGGTAACATTCTGGATCGTGTTGTCGATTTGTTGTAAGCTATCTACGATTTCGTTAATGGCTTGTCTATTTTCTCCGATTTGGACTCTGGATACATTCAGAATAGTTAACCCTTCCTGTACTACGTGTGCTAAACGAGCTTGGTTCGTAGCTAAATTATGTACATTTCTTTTGATACTTTCAAGGTCTTCATCTGAAACGGTGCCAAAAAGGAAACTTAATGCTTTACCAACAAAGAGCGACCTTTTAGGCCTCGACAGGTGATGATATTCTAAGAAATTTTCACAAAGATTATTCAAGGTGATGTTTAAGTTATCTATCTCCTGTCTCTAGTTTCACGAACATGCTTTCTATTCCAGAATAAGTAGCACTATAGTTCTTGTTAATTACCTTATGGATAATCAATGCCACATCATTGATGTCAGTCTGGCATTTGGTTAAATACGACTGGTAAGGTTTTAAGTCTATAACAAAGGTGACTAACCACTTAGACCTGGTGGTCGTTACGTCATTCAACTTCTGAAATATGATGTTTTCGAACATCATGGCACCACTGGCTAAACCCACATATACTAAAAGAATTAGGACACCCATAGTGTTTTCTGAAAACCAGAGGATAACAGATTGATATATATCCCTCTACATATATTCATTATCAGGCAAAACTGTCATCAACAGTCAGATAAGTCTTTCATATATACAAAGGCACTGAGGTCAGCAGTCTTAAGAAATCGTCCAGTAAACAAGTATATCTATGTATATATATATAACATTGACATTATATACATTGCGGTCATACCTGTCCACACTATTGCGAAGCCTCACAATAGTTGGGCTACTGCTTCTAGTAACTTCCTAACTTGGTTACTAGGCCGAGGCTTTATATCTGTTTCATCACTTTTAGCTGTGACAGGGTTGCAGCTAATGACATTTACTACATCTTCGCGATAGGATTGTGAATTATCAGAACCTTGGTCAGAGCCATTATCTTCAGTTATCAGCTGTTCCTGTACTCGCCTTCTGCTCCTTAACCTTTTAACGACCTCAGTCAGGGGGATGTTATCCTCATCCTCAGAGTCTGATCTTTCCTGGCGGTATCATCTGGCAATTCTACATAATGGATCCCCTGTCTTAGCATCTGAACTTTCTGAACTTGATTCAGATGAGGGAGGAACAACGTAGGCAGTCTTTCTCTTAGGACGGCCACTGATATCTTTTGGGATGTCCCATTCATCTATTTCAGCTACTCTAAGGTGCTCTGCATGGGCTTTTGTGGTTGATCCATCAAGCTGACATCGGATTATATAGGTGACAGGAGAGGTCTGATCTATGACCCTGTAAAAAGGCCTCCACTTGTTTTGTAATTTGCTTTTTCTCTGGTGGAGCCTGTAGAAGACTGGGTCACCTATCTTTATTTTGTTTGGCTTCCTATTCCTGTCAGCATACTTTTTCTGTCGGCGCTTAGCCTTCTTCATGTTCCTATGTATCAGTACGAAGGATTTATGTTGCTGTTGTAACCCGATCTTGTGTTCGTCTTCTCCACAGTACTTTCTTCTTGGTTTGAGTAGGTTATCAATAGGTAACACGACATCTCGGTTATACAACAGGAAGAAGGGTGAGAATTTCGATGATTCGCAGATGTTGAACCTTATGGCCGCCAATGTCTGGTTAAGGTACAGGTCCCAGCTGGTCAAGTTGTCGTCCAGTTTCTTAGCGAGTACATCGTGTAGGGTTCGATGGAATCGCTCAACTCGGCTGTTGGCCTGTGGATGATAGTACGAGGTTTTCACATAATGTATCCCGAGTGCCTCCAGGGTCTCCATAACTACCCTGTTTACGTTTTCCGTGCCATTGTCAGTGACAATCTGAAGTGGGGCACCAAATCGTGGAAAGATCTCCTCGATTAGTAAGTGGGCCACGGTTTCTGCTGTTTTGTCTGGGACGGGAAATGCTTCGGGCCAACCGCTGAAATGGTCCACAAAGCTAATGATATACTTGTTTCCAGACAAGGAAGTAGGGTATGGGCCAGAAAGGTCCATGCTCACCTTGGCAAATGGGTAGGGTGGCATATCAGTATCTTGTAGTGGTGGCTTCTGTGCTTTCATCATACGAGCTTGACAGGTGATGCACCTTGTGATGTAGCTATACAGCTTTTCGTAGAGGTTCGGCCAATAATATTTGGTCTTAATCGCCTAAAATGTTTTGTAAATTCCCATAAGCCCATTCTCATCATGGTATTGCGTCACTACATCTTGTTGAAGATGTTCAGGCACATATAATCTTGGAGCTGGTTCATCATCCGCGTCACTCATAAAATATAGTAACCCACCTATCAGTAGAAACCTTCTCAATGATGACTCGTCTCCACTACCCTTTTCCAGCTTGATCTTAATGTCTTGGATGTTCCTGTCCTTCAGTTGTTCTGAGCTCATGTCCAGTCCCAATCTGCACGTTTTGGGGACGTCGGGGGTCTCGCTTTGTTGAGGTTCACAGCTGGCAAACTCCTTTGCTGAGAATGTGCTTGATTCAAGGACATTAATTTCAAGGGCATTGCTTGGGCCATCTAGTACAATTTCCTCCCCTGGATTGGTATCAACCCCCGGGTTGACCGGTACTCTTGACAGGAGATCAGCACAAGTATTGGTTGTTCCTGCAATGTACTCAATCTCACAGTTGTAGCCTGCAACTCCAAGTGCCCAAAGTTGTACCTTCTTATTTTGCATCAGGGACTCCAGCAGGTACTTCAGAGGTTCATGGTCCGATCGGATGACGAATTTGGCATTATGCAGATAATGGTCAAGTTTTTGCAAGGCATAATGAATGGCATATGCTTCTTTTTCAATTGTTGATCATCGTGTTTGAGTATCTGTCAACTTGTGTGATAGGAAATGGATTGGTTTCTCAACTCCCGGAGATGTGCTGTCGTCATAATGTAGTTGTGCTAGGCAGGCACCCACGCAGCTATCACTGGCATCAGTGTAAAGTACATATGGCCTGATTGGATCTGGATACGTCAGCAGGGGTACCACAGTGAGACTCCTTTTCAGGAACTGAAAGGCCTGTTCACATTCTTCTGTCCAAGCAAATCGGGCATACTTCTTGGTCAGTTTCACAATTGGCTAAGCTATTTTTGAGAAGTTTGGTATAAACCTCCTATAATAACTACACATACCAACAAAGCTGCGGACTTCTCGAACCGAGGCAGGGGCCTCCATGGAGCGGATCGCCTCAACCTTTTTCTCATCAGGCTTGATCCCATCCTGATTGATGATGAACCCCGAATAGTTGGTTTCCTTTTGCATAAATGAGCATTTTGACAGTTTTAATTTTAAAGAATGTCGCCGGATCCTATCAAAGACCAATTGAATGTGTTTCAGATGTTCTTCCTTGGTTTTAGAGAAGATCAGGACATCATCAAGGTAGGCAATTGCAAAAGCCTCCAGGTCCTCTAAAACGACATTCATTAGTTCCGTAAAGACAGACGGGGCGTTGCATAAGCCAAGTGGCATTACTGAAAACTCGAAAAGTCCCCGATGGCAGGCAAATGCGGTTTCTCTTTGTCCTTGTCATCCATCAACACCTGCCAATATCCAGACTTTAAGTCCAGGGTTGTAAAGTATTTAGAATCGCCTAATTGGGTTAGGGATGTCATCGATCAGAGGTAGCGGGGGTCGAAATCGGGCGGTTGATTCGGTTCAATGCACGGAAGTCGATACAAAATCTTTGCTGCCGTCTTTCTTATCAACTACTACAATTGGGAAGCTCCATGGTGACCTCGACCGTTGTATTATTTTAGCTTCAAGCATCTCATTAATTGCCTTATCAACTACCTGACGTTTGTTTAACGGCGTTCTATAGGGCTTCATTCTAATCGGGGGTGATCGCCAGTGTCTATTTTCATCTTCACTGTGTCTGTATGCCCTAAGTCGATGTCATTGTTTTTGCAAGAAGGTCTCGGTTACAGTTAACAACGTCATAAACACTACTCTTGTGTTCTGGTGGCACGTTAATGTCAACGTCCTTGTCATTCGTCATTGTCCGCAAGTCTGACATGTTGATTACGCTCTTTGAAGGAATGCTTTCCAATTTCCCCATAACACTACCTCGTCTTTAATCTAATGGATTTGTTGGTATTATTTACTAGCATGACTGGGACATTTCTGTGTTTATCTATCTTGACAATGGAATTGCTAACCAGGATACCCGGTTCTTTTGCCAAATAACCAGTATCAATAGCTGACAAGTTGATACACACTATCAGCTTGCATGCCATCCCTATTCTTAACTTTACTTCTGAGAACGTTTTTGCTTTGTGGTTTTATGGTTATGTTTGCTGCCAACCTTACCACAGAGGAAATGTGAATGTCCTCCTCCAAAGGGACATACGTTTTGCCTATTCTTAAACTACCGAGATCAAAGTAAAGCCTCACACCTTTCCTTGGTCAACCAGTCATGGCCAAGGATCATGTTCCGGTTCATGTTCCGGACTACATAGAACGTGTGATTGAGAGTAACACCCCTAAGTTTGAAAGTCAGATTGACGCTGCCATCTACTTCCAGAGCATTACCATTAACTCCCTGCAGGGAAATCTTTTTCATTTCAAGTTTGCAAAATCCCTTAATTAATTCAAATATTCTCCTATGTATTATCGATACCTCTGCTCCCGAATCTATTAAACATCTAACCTTTTGTTTACCAATTTTAACACTGCATGAATTTGGTCTTCCTGCCAGGTCAATTGAGTATTTTCTTTCATCCTCTTCCCCAGTGGCTTCTTTGTGGAGAAGAGGTCTCTAGTTTAAAGTTCTATCATTGAGGTTGGCAAAAGTCACTCTTCGTCTGTTCGGGCACTCTCTTTTGACATGTCCTGGTTGGTTGCATGACCAACACACTATTGGTTTTGGGGAATGGGGACGGCCTGTCCCTACCACTGCATGAATCCCCCGTCTCGTTTGCAGCCCACTCTGACTAGTTTGAATGTTACAATCTCTAGCCCTATGCCCTGTACCATTTGCATTTAAAACATCTCCTATGCCTCAGATGGTCTATGTCCATCGGTTACTCTCTTCGTTCATTTAGGAATGTCCTTTCCCTACTGTTATTTGGGCTTCTATGTCTACAACCTGACCTATCGCTTGACCTTCCCAACCTTAGTTCGAAACGAGCCCTAATGTTTTGTTCATGTGTGGCCGAGGTGACAGCTGTCGCCAAATTTGGCGGGTTTTCCCTCATTAATTTCTTCTGTAAGTAGTCGAAAGCAAGCCCATCTATAAAGAAACCCACAAGTTGCCTCTCTACTGCCATACTGTTGCCATCCGGGCCTAAACCTGCATATGCCTCCTCCGCTAAATTTAGGAGCAAATAGCTGTACGCTTTCACCATGCTTTTGCCGGAGGGATCGGAGTAAGATAAAAGCATGTTGTGGATCGGTTATTTCTGCCAACCACCTTGCTAGTTCTACTTTCAATTCTTCCCACCTTGCCTGCTTGTGGTCATTCATAAACCTGTGTATAAAGTCACTGATGGTCCCTGCGCTAGTTTGGTATGCTATCATTTTCTTTTGGTTTGAATTTGAATTGGTTAATACCGAATACTTTTCAATGGCCTTAATCCATTCCTTGTACCTTTTGGGGTCTCCATCGAAACTCTGAACTACCGAGGATATTCCTTGTGTCCCTATTTTTGATGATAAACTGGACAACTGTCCTGAAATTTGGTTTGCCAAACCTTGAAGAAACTCGCCTAACTCCTGGCTTGCCATTTTGAATATTGGAGAGTACTAACAACAAAACCCTTGTCTACTCACTCGTTTTCTCGTCGGGCCAGTCTCCACGTAGCCTTTTCCTCCTCGAAAGTTCGTTTCCAATGGAGATCCGGGTCACGACACCAGTTGAAGAACCCTGAGCATCGCCTTTACTTGTAACAAAGTAAAACAGGCGACAACAAAAGGTTTGCAAGGAATTGAAGTATTTATTTCAGACACAGTCCCATCACAGAGTCCACAGGGCTGGTCTGGTCAGCATGGTCCCGGCAGGGTTCAAACAGCTATAGGTAGAGGCAGGCAGAGAGTCCCTCTCAGCTGGCAGTAGCGTCGTCTGTGAGAGTCAGTTGGGTTCTGTCTTGAGAGTGGGGCTTGGCTGCTTTTTAACCAGCGTACCCCCCTCTCTTAAACGTCATACTGGTCACAAACAATCTGGCAGGTTGATCCAGCTAAGTCCACTAGATTAATCATTCTCATGGCCAATGTCCAGTGTGGCGTTTCGCGTCAGTTTTCTTAACTCGTTGTTTTTAACTTCTAGTGAGATATGGTCTCTTACTTGTCATATCCCGGTCAGTCTGGAGGGACTGTGGGCAGTACACTGGTCACGCTGGATTAGTGTCCGATGCATTTGCTCCTGTTTTCTATCCACTACATGAATCACTTCCCTCATTAATGTCTGGTGTGACATTTTTTAAGCCTTCGAAAGACCCTGTCCTGACTTTTGAGTGAAATATAGTTTCTCAGCCCAACACGCACCGGTCAGCTAGGTGGCAGAGAAATAGTGCGTCTGTCTCACTGCGTCTGATTAGTGTCATGGGCCAACATAGCGGCATGCTGCTTATTGTGTTACAACAATCGACCCTGGTGCTGATCTTCCTTTATCAAGAAGGAACTTGGCCAAGGCTGTTTGGTCATTACATAAGACTCTGTGTGTTGAGCACTTAAACCATGACCTTTTCAGGAACAGTGAAGATCCTATACAGTCGTTTTCTGAAATACTCAATGACATTGCTGACCAAACTATACCGAAGTCCTCTGCAATTCCACACATTCGTAAACCATGGTTTTCTAATGAGTGTAAACAGGCTAGAAAGTGTAGGAAGAAAGCTGAAAAGTTTTTTCGCAAACATCCTACTGTCCATAACTTCGATAAAGTTAAAATTTTAAATGCCAAGGCTCGACGCACCTTCAAACAGACTAAGCATCAGTCTTGGAGGAACTATGTTTCCAAAATTACTTCACGCACACCTATTTCAAAGGTGTAGAACATGATTCAAAGAATAAAGGGCAAAGGTTCCAAATCTACTGTTAACCATTTGAAGGATGGTGACCATTTATTAACTGATAAGTCTCACATTGCCAATAAGCTTGGTGAAACTCTCGCCAAACACTCTTCTTCATCAAATTATGTCCCAGAATTTCAAAAGTTCCAGAAACATCAAGAGAAGAAGAGAATAAATTTTAACTCAGACAATGGTGAAGACGACAATGAATTATTTTTATTACATGAGCTCCACACTGCCCTTGAGCAAGCTCATGATACAGCAACAGGGGCTGAAAATATCCACTATCAGCTCTTGAAACATTTGCCTGAATCATGTTTAGAAATCCTTTTAGGACTTTTTGATCAAATATGAACTTCAGGGAATTCCCAACTTCGTGGCGTAATGCCATTGTTGTACCTATTCCAAAGCCTGGCCGGGATCATACTGATCCATCCAACTACAGACCAATCTCTTTAACGAGTTGTGTTTGTAAAACCATGGAACGAATGGTAAACAATAGATTAACATGGTATCTTGAAACCAATAATCTTATATCAAGTATTCAATGTGGTTTCAGGAAAAATCGTAGTACCAATGATCATTTGGTACGTTTAGAATCCTTTGTAAAAAAATGCTATCGTTAATAAACAACATGCTGTATCGATATTCTTTGATCTTGAGAAAGCATACGATACCACCTGGAAGCATGGCATTTTGAAGGATTTACATGATTTTGGTTTGAGAGGCCGTTTGCCTCTTTTCATATCACAGTTTTTAAAAGACAGGCAATTTCAAGTCCGAGTGGGTTCAACCCTGTCAGACCATTATATTCAGGATCAGGGTGTACCACAAGGAAGTATTTCGTCTGTCACTTTATTTAGCATTAAGATCAACAGCTTATCCAAGGTTTTAAATGATTCAATTGACGGATCACTTTTGTGGATGATTTTAACATTTCTTGTCGCAGTAAGAATATGCATACTATTGAACGGCAACTACAGTTGTGTTTAAATAAAATACATAAATGGTGTCTTGAAAACGGCTTTAAATTTTCTAAATCAAAAACTAATTACATACACTTCTGCCGTAAATATAAACCACACAAAGACCCAAAACTGTTTTTAAATGGCACTCCCATCAAGGTTGTAAAAGATATCGTTGGTACATATCTCTGTTTGTTCCTACTCACGACATTGCAGCCGGTGCCGTAACTTGGCATCATGGCAGTGTCTTGTAACTGGAGCTTTCTTCTCCTCCGGCATGTTAATACATACGTATCTGGGTGTGATCATACTCACCACCATGGAGGTCAAACAGTAGGCATGGGGACGACGGGCTATGGTCCGTTCGGATGACGAATTTGGCATTATGCAGATAATGGTCAAGTTTTTGCAAGGCATAATGAATGGCATATGGTTCTTTTTCAATCGTTGACCATCGTGTTTGAGTATCTGTCAACTTGTGTGATAGGAAATGGATTGGTTTCTCAACTCCCGGAGATGTGCTGTCGTCATAATGTAGTTGTGCTAGGCAGGCACCCACGCAGCTATCACTGGCATCAGTGTAAAGTACATATGGCCTGATTGGATCTGGATACGTCAGCAGGGGTACCACAGTGAGACTCCTTTTCAGGAACTGAAAGGCCTGTTCACATTCTTCTGTCCAAGCAAATCGGGCATACTTCTTGGTCAGTTTCACAATTGGCTAAGCTATTTTTGAGAAGTTTGGTATAAACCTCCTATAATAACTACACATACCAACAAAGCTGCGGACTTCTCGAACCGAGGCAGGGGCCTCCATGGAGCGGATCGCCTCAACCTTTTTCTCATCAGGCTTGATCCCATCCTGATTGATGATGAACCCCAAATAGTTGGTTTCCTTTTGCATAAATGAGCATTTTGACAGTTTTAATTTTAAAGAATGTCGCCGGATCCTATCAAAGACCAATTGAATGTGTTTCAGATGTTCTTCCTTGGTTTTAGAGAAGATCAGGACATCATCAAGGTAGGCAATTGCAAAAGCCTCCAGGTCCTCTAAAACGACATTCATTAGTTCCGTAAAGACAGACGGGGCGTTGCATAAGCCAAGTGGCATTACTGAAAACTCGAAAAGTCCCCGATGGCAGGCAAATGCGGTTTTCTCTTTGTCCTTGTCATCCATCAACACCTGCCAATATCCAGACTTTAAGTCCAGGGTTGTAAAGTATTTAGAATCGCCTAATTGGGTTAGGATGTCATCGATCAGAGGTAGCGGGGTCGAAATCGGGCGGCTGATTCGGTTCAATGCACGGAAGTCGATACAAAATCTTTTGCTGCCGTCTTTCTTATCAACTACTACAATTGGGAAGCTCCATGGTGACCTCGACCGTTGTATTATTTTAGCTTCAAGCATCTCATTAATTGCCTTATCAACTACCTGACGTTTGTTTAACGGCGTTCTATAGGGCTTCATTCTAATCGGGGGGTGATCGCCAGTGTCTATTTTCATCTTCACTGTGTCTGTATGCCCTAAGTCGATGTCATTGTTTGCAAGAAGGTCTCGGTTACAGTTAACAACGTCATAAACACTACTCTTGTGTTCTGGTGGCACGTTAATGTCAACGTCCTTGTCATTCGTCATTGTCCGGCAAGTCTGACATGTTGATTACGCTCTTTGAAGGAATGCTTTCCAATTTCCCCATAACACTACCTCGTCTTAATCTAATGGATTTGTTGGTATTATTTACTAGCATGACTGGGACATTTCTGTGTTTATCTATCTTGACAATGGAATTGCTAACCAGGATACCCGGTTCTTTTGCCAAATAACCAGTATCAATAGCTGACAAGTTGATACACACTATCAGCTTGCATGCCATCCCTATTCTTAACTTTACTTCTGAGAACGTTTTTGCTTTGTGGTTTTATGGTTATGTTTGCTGCCAACCTTACCACAGAGGAAATGTGAATGTCCTCCTCCAAGGGGACATACGTTTTGCCTATTCTTAAACTACCGAGATCAAAGTAAAGCCTCACACCTTCCTTGGTCAACCAGTCATGGCCAAGGATCATGTTCCGGTTCATGTTCCGGACTACATAGAACGTGTGATTGAGAGTAACACCCCTAAGTTTGAAAGTCAGATTGACGCTGCCATCTACTTCCAGAGCATTACCATTAACTCCCTGCAGGGAAATCTTTTTCATTTCAAGTTTGCAAAATCCCTTAATTAATTCAAATATTCTCCTATGTATTATCGATACCTCTGCTCCCGAATCTATTAAACATCTAACCTTTTGTTTACCAATTTTAACACTGCATGAATTTGGTCTTCCTGCCAGGTCAATTGAGTATTTTCTTTCATCCTCTTCCCCAGTGGCTTCTTTGTGGAGAAGAGGTTCTAGTTTAAAGTTCTATCATTGAGGTTGGCAAAAGTCACTCTTCGTCTGTTCGGGCACTCTCTTTTGACATGTCCTGGTTGGTTGCATGACCAACACACTATTGGTTTTGGGGAATGGGGACGGCCTGTCCCTACCACTGCATGAATCCCCCGTCTCGTTTGCAGCCCACTCTGACTAGTTTGAATGTTACAATCTCTAGCCCTATGCCCTGTACCATTTGCATTTAAAACATCTCCTATGCCTCAGATGGTCTATGTCCATCGGTTACTCTCTTCGTTCATTTAGGAATGTCCTTTCCCTACTGTTATTTGGGCTTCTATGTCTACAACCTGACCTATCGCTTGACCTTCCCAACCTTAGTTCGAAACGAGCCCTAATGTTTTGTTCATGTGTGGCCGAGGTGACAGCTGTCGCCAAATTTGGCGGGTTTTCCTCATTAATTTCTTCTGTAAGTAGTCGAAAAGCAAGCCCATCTATAAAGAAACCCACAAGTTGCCTCTCTACTGCCATACTGTTGCCATCCGGGCCTAAACCTGCATATGCCTCCTCCGCTAAATTTAGGAGCAAATAGCTGTACGCTTTCACCATGCTTTTGCCGGAGGGATCGGAGTAAGATAAAAGCATGTTGTGGATCGGTTATTTCTGCCAACCACCTTGCTAGTTCTACTTTCAATTCTTCCCACCTTGCCTGCTTGTGGTCATTCATAAACCTGTGTATAAAGTCACTGATGGTCCCTGCGCTAGTTTGGTATGCTATCATTTTCTTTTGGTTTGAATTTGAATTGGTTAATACCGAATACTTTTCAATGGCCTTAATCCATTCCTTGTACCTTTTGGGGTCTCCATCGAAACTCTGAACTACCGAGGATATTCCTTGTGTCCCTATTTTTGATGATAAACTGGACAACTGTCCTGAAATTTGGTTTGCCAAAACTTGAAGAAACTCGCCTAACTCCTGGCTTGCCATTTTGAATATTGGAGAGTACTAACAACAAAACCCTTGTCTACTCACTCGTTTTCTCGTCGGGCCAGTCTCCACGTAGCTTTTTCCTCCTCGAAAGTTCGTTTCCAATGGAGATCCGGGTCACGGCACCAGTTGAAGAACCCTGAGCATCGCCTTTACTTGTAACAAAGTAAAACAGGCGACAACAAAAGGTTTGCAAGGAATTGAAGTATTTATTTCAGACACAGTCCCATCACAGAGTCCACAGGGCTGGTCTGGTCAGCATGGTCCCTGCAGGGTCCAAACAGCTATAGGTAGAGGCAGGCAGAGAGTCCCTCTCAGCTGGCAGTAGCGTCGTCTGTGAGAGTCAGTTGGGTTCTGTCTTGAGAGTGGGGCTTGGCTGCTTTTTAACCAGCGTACCCCCCTCTCTTAAACGTCATACTGGTCACAAACAATCTGGCAGGTTGATCCAGCTAAGTCCACTAGATTAATCATTCTCATGGCCAATGTCCAGTGTGGCGTTTCAGCGTCAGTTTTTCTTAACTCGTTGTTTTTAACTTCTAGTGAGATATGGTGTCTTACTTGTCATATCCCGGTCAGTCTGGAGGGACTGTGGGCAGTACACTGGTCACGCTGGATTAGTGTCCGATGCATTTGCTCCTGTTTTCTATCCACTACATGAATCACTTCCCTCATTAATGTCTGGTGTGACATTTTTTAAGCCTTCGAAAGACCCTGTCCTGACTTTTGAGTGAAATATAGTTTCTCAGCCCAACACGCACCGGTCAGCTAGGTGGCAGAGAAATAGTGCGTCTGTCTCACTGCGTCTGATTAGTGTCATGGGCCAACATAGCGGCATGCTGCTTATTGTGTCACAACAATCGACCCTGGTGCTGATCTTCCTTTATCAAGAAGGAACTTGGCCAAGGCTGTTTGGTCATTACATAAGACTCTGTGTGTTGAGCACTTAAACCATGACCTTTTCAGGAACAGTGAAGATCCTATACAGTCGTTTTCTGAAATACTCAATGACATTGCTGACCAAACTATACCGAAGTCCTCTGCAATTCCACACATTCGTAAACCATGGTTTTCTAATGAGTGTAAACAGGCTAGAAAGTGTAGGAAGAAAGCTGAAAAGTTTTTTCACAAACATCCTACTGTCCATAACTTCGATAAAGTTAAAATTTTAAATGCCAAGGCTCGACGCACCTTCAAACAGACTAAGCATCAGTCTTGGAGGAACTATGTTTCCAAAATTACTTCACGCACACCTATTTCAAAGGTGTAGAACATGATTCAAAGAATAAAGGGCAAAGGTTCCAAATCTACTGTTAACCATTTGAAGGATGGTGACCATTTATTAACTGATAAGTCTCACATTGCCAATAAGCTTGGTGAAACTCTCGCCAAACACTCTTCTTCGTCAAATTATGTCCCAGAATTTCAAAAGTTCCAGAAACAACAAGAGAAGAAGAGAATAAATTTTAACTCAGACAATGGTGAAGACGACAATGAATTATTTTTATTACATGAGCTCCACACTGCCCTTGAGCAAGCTCATGATACAGCAACAAGGGCTGATAATATCCACTATCAGCTCTTGAAACATTTGCCTGAATCATGTTTAGAAATCCTTTTAGGACTTTTTGATCAAATATGAACTTCAGGGAATTCCCAACTTCGTGGCGTAATGCCATTTTTGTACCTATTCCAAAGCCTGGCCGGGATCATACTGATCCATCCAACTACAGACCAATCTCTTTAACGAGTTGTGTTTGTAAAACCATGGAACGAATGGTAAACAATAGATTAACATGGTATCTTGAAACCAATAATCTTAAAAACAAGTATTCAATGTGGTTTCAGGAAAAATCGTAGTACCATTGATCATTTGGTACGTTTAGAATCCTTTGTAAAAAAATGCTATCGTTAATAAACAACATGCTGTATCGATATTCTTTGATCTTGAGAAAGCATACGATACCACCTGGAAGCATGGCATTTTGAAGGATTTACATGATTTTGGTTTGAGAGGTCGTTTGCCTCTTTTCATATCACAGTTTTTAAAAGACAGGCAATTTCAAGTCCGAGTGGGTTCAACCCTGTCAGACCATTATATTCAGGATCAGGGTGTACCACAAGGAAGTATTTCGTCTGTCACTTTATTTAGCATTAAGATCAACAGCTTATCCAAGGTTTTAAATGATTCAATTGACGGATCACTTTTTGTGGATGATTTTAACATTTCTTGTCGCAGTAAGAATATGCATACTATTGAACGGCAACTACAGTTGTGTTTAAATAAAATACATAAATGGTGTCTTGAAAACGGCTTTAAATTTTCTAAATCAAAAACTAATTACATACACTTCTGCCGTAAATATAAACCACACAAAGACCCAAAACTGTTTTTAAATGGCACTCCCATCAAGGTTGTAAATGATATCGTTGGTACATATCTCTGTGTGTTCCTACTCACGACATTGCAGCCGGTGCCGTAACTTGGCATCATGGCAGTGTCTTGTAACTGGAGCTTTCTTCTCCTCCGGCATGTTAATACATACGTATCTGGGTGTGATCATACCCACCACCATGGAGGTCAAACAGTAGGCATGGGGACGACGGGCTACAAGGTGAGTCACGTCCATCTCTTCCTCAGCACAGACACCAACCTCCAGGATGAGATTGCTCCTTGTGAGTGTTTTGTCCAGTCCGACCCTGGTCTCCGTCTCCCAGTACTGGGGACAATCAGCCAAGGGGAGTGCTGCATGTGCCACAGTAGTTCGTAAGTCTCCCTTTCCCTGCAGACCTGGTGTCACACTTGCTGTTGATCAAGTCCCCCTCTGTGTTGCTGTGGGTGCGGTTAAGATTAATTTTATCTGTGTCATACTTCAGATGTATACCTAAACGTGGATTAGATGCTCATGTTGTCAATCACTGGGTTGTCTGAATAATTTCAAACCGCCGTCACATATCTGGAATATTGCTGAATGCAACGTTAAACAACAAACAAACGAGTGAAAGATAATCTTAAGAACAAAATGATAAAATACACAACAACGTGAAGGTCAGTTTTGATCACTGATTGTTATGTACAGGCCATAAAACTACCGTATCCCGTGATGGGATTCAAACTATGGACCTTTTGATTGGAAGTCGGATGGCTCGTCCACATGGCCACAGGAAGCTGACAAAGCGAAAATGTCATATGTATATCATTTCACGCCCTGTCACATAAACATCGTATCTACTTAGTGTAACATTCTGAAAGAAGGTACAGTACGTGACCAGTCCAGCAAACACTAATCAGGTGTCACCCCAAATATTGCTGTATCCCAAATATAGTCAGCATTGACATCGGGATCAGAATTTGTGTTCAGCAAACTATGCTTGTGGTAAGAGGAAACTAACAGAATCGGGTGATCAGGCTCGCTTGGCTGCCACATCGTATTACAATTGTGTAGATGGATGCTCATGCTGTCCATCTCTGGATTGTCTGGTCCTGACTCGAGTATTTGCAGACCGCCACCATATAGCTGGAATATTGCCGATTGCGCCGTTAAACAACAAACAAACAAACACTTTGTACGTTGATCATTAGCCGAGCAGTTGTTCCACAACATTCTACTACAGAATACACTGGGTGGCTAATGTAGCCACGCCCCCAAATCACCTCCATGATGTGACAATAGGTTCGGAGTCTGTAGTTTAAGCATAGATGGTAAATGGGTAGATTATGAACGTACACTTCAGCACCATCGACTTGTCCAAGGCGTCTGGTTTCAGCAGGTGAACATCGCATTCATTGATCAGTCCTGCAACATCAACATTGCCAGCACTTTGATAAAACAACATTTTCATATCTTGTAGTGAATGTCAATAATAAACCCAACACACAGGCCAACATTTTAGTGTTAAAACCTGGACTCAGTTATCTGAACGAAGAAAGTAAAGGAACAAAGGTGACTGGACTTTACCAAGCATGAAATGTGTGGTTTCTGAGGCTCTCTTCACGATGTTTTCGTTCTCATCGATGCTCTGAAAAGATAACCCTTAATCAGACTTAATTGTCAGTAAGTATGTATGTCGGGACATATGGGGAGGTAGGCGATAGGTATGTACAAATATCTAAATATTTTAAACTTAACTCGGAAAAGAACATACAATGTACCGAATATGCCGTATATTTTATTTACTGGCACTGCGTTGTTTCTGGATTGCTTTACAATAGTCTGACAACCTTATAACGGCCTACGATGTGTAGTCACTATAAAAGTGTTATCTATAAATTGTCCCAAAATAACTGAATGAGTGAGTCAGTGAGTTTAGCTTTACACATTTTTTTAGCAATATTCCAGCAATATAACGACGGACGACACCAGAAATTGACTTCACACATTGTACCCATGTGGGGAATCGAACCCGGATCTTCAGTGTGACCCAAAATAACTGAAGTTACCTTGTACCTCTTTTTAATAAAGTGAATGTTTAAAAAGCATATCAGTCTCAGTTTGTTAATTCTGATATAGCTTGCATGTATTTCGATTTTGGTTTTGTCTCAGTCAATGATCCTCTTCTGATTTCCGATGTGCTGAATGAATAAATGAATGAATGAATGAATGAATGAATGAATGAATAATTATTCCTTAACACCCGCATCAGCAATATTACACCTATTCGCGGCGAGCGATGTGCTGTAGACATTAGATAGGTAATTATGGACATTTACTTCTGAAAACGGATTCCAAATGTTTTAGATCGTTGTCTTACATTTTAATTGGTTCTAGTACATTAAATACTTTGTCGTCATACATACTGTCTCATACGCTCTTCTTTAGCGGTTACGGTGCATTATATTATTTTAATTACCAAACTCAGGTTCTTATATTTGATTTCCATCTCAGCTATGAAGTCATGTTCAGTTTGAGTTTCCTTGTCTGAAACAACACCATGATGTAAATACACCCTTAAGAATGAATGAATAATTAGTGGTTTACGCCCCATCAGCAATAATTAGACATCCATAAGAAATCTCGACTGTAACATTCCAACATATTATGAGCAACTGTTACTGTTTATAAAGTGCGTGTTCTTTAAGTATCTAATACAACTCGGCTGACTAGACAATGGCATTGTGTCAATAACTACCGGTGCTTTAAGTATAATATTAGTTGTCTTTCGAGCAAAAAACTCGAGTTGCTGAGAATGATGTGTCACATGTTATTTTTGGGATTACACTTTCTCCGTAAAGTATAAATTCTAGTACTTTTTGTTAGGCCGTGATTTGAACCCACACTCTCAGAGTCAGGCACCCGATCACATAAAATGAGCGATCTAACCTTCTCAGCCACAGCGGTTTCCATAGAAATTGAAGTCTGACAACTGGTAGACTACATCATGTACTTTGTGTATCCCTCTGACAAATGTGAATTGACACCGCCCACATAGTCGACAGCTATAAATAGACAATGTCAGTTTGAAGGACGCTTCTTAGTAAATTACGGATTCTAGACTCAAAACAGTCATAGAATCTGTAATTTACTGAGAACGTGTAGTCCCAAATACAACATAACACTATAGAACGCTGTCCCATTTCTACACGCAATAAAAAATCAACTCTGATCACTTTCTAAATGGCATTGTGTATCCATAAGAATAGTGCATCTGTAAGCACTATAGAACGCTGTTCCACTCCTACACGCAATAAAAGAGAACGTGAAATCATATCTGATATAAATACCTCTTGCATTTTCTTTTTCCATGCCCTTGGTCACGACAGCCCCAAATCGTGATATGTTTGATTTCAGCTTTGACAAGCCGTTGGTGTTAAAGACAGCTGCGAGTATGTCCTGTGTTTGAGTCTCAACAGTGTCAAGGAAAGCCCTAGTTGCCTCCCTTACAGAACTCTCCAACTCCAGAAGGTCTGATTGTGAGGCATACGTGAGAACCTTGGTGACGTAGTCTAAAACCTCAGAGCATTTCTTCGAAGCTTCTTCACATGTGTTTAGCTGAGTACGGAGACTTGTCTTGGCCGCCTTCGTCTGACCTTCAAGATCAGTCAGAAGTTCCTTCTCTCGTTGGTCAAGTTGTGCTCGCAGAGTTCTAAAAGTATGGCCAATATTTTCTTTCACTGTGTTGTGCGTTGTATCTGTGATTTCGGTCCCTCGTCTGATATTCTGAATGTTGGACTGTTGGCGAGCTTGTAAGGTTGCCAGCTCAGTTTTGCGTTGGTCCAGCTATTTGAGGATACTTTCAGCTGCCACATCTACCTTCTCAACTTCATGATCTGCATGATCTTCAAATCTGCATCTTCCACAAATCAAAATGTTGCATCTCTGATCAAAAAGATAAAGAGAGTCATGGCTGTGGATACTGCAAGGGGTTGGAATGTTTGAGACAGCTGGTTTAAGGTTAAGGTTTTGAAGTACATGTTTTCTTGTAAGTTTGAAGCTGCTGTGCATATTCTGACAGTATTCACAGAGGAGCTCTTCACACTCCCGACACCAACACACAGCCTGGTTGCCGTCATCTTCGTGAGTACAGAGAAGCTCTGTGGGGCGATGTTGGACTGTCAGATGGAATATTTCCTTCTGTCTCACTGCATCCTTCTGGAGGCTTGTGTCTGTGAGGTTGACCTCCCTCTGACAAGAAGAGCATGATATCACACCACCAGCTGCAGATGTCACACACGTCTCACACACCGCGTGTAGACAGGGCAGTAGGTAGGGGGCGGGGCCTTTGAGAACAAACTGCTGATGACAGACAGAGCACTTTGGGAAGATGTCCTTTCTGGAACACAAGAAAACCCAAAACAAAACATGTGTTTGTTCGTGAGAGATTGAATTGTTGCTGAATATACAGTCAGTAACAACACATTACACATGTTTGAAGGGCATTTAGAATTTGGACTAAAACTGTTCCTTAATTATAAGACGTTTTGCAGAATAATCAGAGCCTCAAAACAATGTAATGATTTGAGTGCTATATACTGTGAGTGAGCGCTACATACAGCCTGGTGAAAACTGATTCTGATACTGGCAGGTGGCGGGTTGATAGGTCAAGCTGTCCATATCAGTTGTGTTTCATGATAAAGATTAAGCCACTGGTGATTCATTATCATATTTGCTGTTTGTTTATTGAACGTAGCTCTCAGCAATGTTCCAGCTGTATGACGGCTGTCTGTAAATAGTCGAGTTTGGAACGGAACATCCAGTGATTGACATCATTGGCGTCGACATACGCGGTTGGGATACGATGACATGTGTCAGCCAAGCCTGAAAACTCGATCTCTGTAGTCACCTCTTACGACAAACATGGGTTGCCGAAGATCTATTGCATCCGGACCTTCATGGGCAATTAGCTTGTTGAATAAATGTAAACCGGACGTCAACTCGCTTATTGTGACCCAAGGCATTTGAGCACACACTAGAAGCTGAAAAGCGCCATTTTAAAGTCCACTTTTCTGCCCCAAACTACATATATTCCCACCTAGCCGAAATCAATCGTGTAACACAATCTTAAACACTAGGTTTTGTAATTTGTAATTATACCTGTCAATGTTTCAAGTACTAGTCTATAGAAATATCAAACTTCGCGTCGACCTAGTCGTAAAACACCTGTTTTTAAAGTTGGCAATTGTTTTATGCAAACGCTGATCGACCAAAGGCTTTCCTTGAGGTAAACTTTCAAATCCATAGACGAATGTACCTCAACTCTCATATCACATTTTGTAAAAACATAATTCTGATGTGTTACCAGACAGTTTAAGCATGGCATATAGAATCCAGGCAGAAATTTAAACTAAGAACCTGTAAAACAGTATGATGCGTTTGTCCTCCTTAAGTCCCCGAAATACTAGACAACTTATCCACTATCTATCCACACATGTGGTTCGATAACAACGAGAGATTTCTTGCCATATATACTACTCAAAGTTTGCTAAGGATTCCATTTTCAAATCTACATGAAACTTTGATTTGAAGTCAGATTCGATTAAAACCCGGTACACAATGACTGGGTAACCCCACTGGAACCACACTACCACATAAAGCAGGGACAAGCATGATGACCACTGTTTCCTCCGTTCTGTTTTTTTGTCAATGCAACACTGCGCCCTGTGTTTGAGAGCTTCACAAGAGTTAATTGCAATTACTGAAAACAGAAATGCCCCATCAACGACCTCATTGGACAGTCGAAGAATTAGACAGATGCGTCGGTCAAGGAGAGCATGCATTTGCATCCCTCTTAACCTGCATCACCGGCAATGATCATGTCAATTGGACAGTCAATGATCATCACAGACGAGTGAAGGTACTGGTGGACTTCACCGATCGAAGATTTTATGATGTTAACTTGGCTGTGCATCAAAGGCGGAGAGTGGCTCATTAAGGGTTTGGGGAGGTATCAGCAGGGCTAAGAGTCCACATCCAGGATCTCCATGTGCTAGTGATGTACATGTGCCATGCGTTACAGGGATGAGATCCTGGATGTGTACGGTAGACCGTTTGCTGGTGCAGTTGGTCCTGACTTCATCCTCATAGACGACCATACATGACCCCATCGTGCCAGGGTGGTTGATGCCTTCTTTGAGCAACAGACAACCGTCCGTATGGAGTGGCCAGCTCGTTCACCGGACCTCAACCCGATAGAACACATTTGAAACAAGCCTCAGGTTTCCGTCTCACGTCGTCCTGTGTATCAGCTTTGCTCCAAGAAATCGGAATTGCTTTCTGCCATGAGTGGCACTACCTTTCTTTGGTAGCATGAGAGGACAGTGCCAGGCTGCAGTCGTATCATATGGATCCCATAACCACTATTGACAGTTGTTGTGTCATGGTCAATGACTTGTTGCTTGATTATGAGATTTGTTTGTTGCTGTCATGATCACCTATTGCATGTCAGTGTCACCTTATATGTCCATTACTTCTTAGTTGGGCCTTTCAATTAAACATTTCTTTGCATGTTTTTGTCTATGGTTATTTGTATTTGTCAGTAAACGCAGCTGGATACGATGACGTGTGTCAACCAAGTCAGCGACCCCGACCAC